GAAGTCAAGATTCGATCTTGACATCAGTTCTTTGAGAAAGAATTGATAAGAAGTTGTGCTCATGTGCCCATCCTGTTGTTTCTTGCGAATGACAGAATTCTTGGAGAAGAATACTGCTGATTCTGCTCCATCCTGCACTGCGCCATCTTCAGTGGAAGCAGTCTTTGGATCCTTCCTTGGGCGTGACCACCTTCGTTGAGAGATACTTTTTCTCCGTATCAGGTATAATCTTCTCCTACTCTTTTTGTTCAGATCTGGTTCAGTTTATGGTTCAAGATTGGTCTTTGAAAATATGATTTTCTAAATAGGGAATGCGATTCCCAGTTGAAAGGGAGAGAAAATTTTTTGAAATTCTCCCCTTTATTCCACAAGATTTGGGCGTCCATACGATGGATCTCTCATCCCTTCAAATAGCTCAGCACCGCAGCCTGACTGTGACTAAGTAACGAGCCTGCAGGACAGCTCGCTACGTCATAGCTCGCTATAGAGGGAGCTCGCTACGGCGTGAGCTCGAGGTCCCCCGAGCTACCGAAAGGGAATACTCCACGACTATCCCAACTCCCCAGCTAGGGTAACCAACTCGCTCCAACTCTTAGGTAGAAAGACTGCCCCAAAGGCAATCTCGATGAGGGTCTCCTCGAAGTGCCCCTGGAAGCTCACTACGAAGTAGCTTACGACAAGATAGCTCGCTATGTGACAGGGTAGCTCGTGACTAAGCAACGCAATGCTCTCAAGGAAGCTTCTATCTGACAAGACCGTACCCGTCAGGTTGCGCCACGTCTCCTAACTGACGGCGCAGTCCCTGTCCATTCGACAGATTGTACCCACGTCTCTCAACAGATGGTGGCGTGCCTGTCCTCCCGGGACGTGTCACCCATCCAATTGGGTAGTACCCTGCAATGGTCATCTGCGCAGCCCTGGCAGGTTACGGCTGCGACAGAAGCCCAGTGGTGGTTATGCCCGATTTGACAAGAACACCTATATAAGAGCTCCCTAGTTAAAGGGAAGGGCTCTCTCTTGAACATCTGAGATCCCATCTGAAATTTACTTGCTCTCGAGCTAATCTGGAGAACTCAGTGATCCAGCGCGACCTACACTCTTAGCCTCTTTACACTCTTACTTTCTTCCCCAGCGTTCTAACTTAAGCTTCGGAGTATTCCCGCCAGGCGAATCCCCCGGGAATCCTTCATCTTCTCCTTCTCAGGTGCCATCCGTTGCCAGTTAGGAGCCAGTTAGCAGGCAGGTAGGAGTGCCCGGATCGTGCCACATCAGGTAGGTTTAGAGCACTTCCAAGCATTCAAACAACAAAGAAACAACAAATCAAAGAGATTAGATGAAAAAATTTGAAAAACTCACATATTTTCGCAATATTTTCCAAAACTTAAAAAATGTTCCTAAATCTTCTAGTTTGATGCATTTTCGGGAGAAAGAAGCCTTCTTTCCCTAGTTCGAAAATTTTAACTTCCGCCTGTATCATTTTGGAGTCATATCGGTCGATACACCCCGATACGATACCGAAATGGTCGATACGGTACCAATATGGGCGAATAGATACAAAACATAGGATTTTATAGCATATCCCGTATCTTACCCTAAAAGATACGATGCGATACTTTGAACCTTGCTTCACAATGGGGTCCTGTGCAGTTAGCTAGAAAAGCAGCAAACAAGATTTCGAAGACTCCCTATGTGCTTTGGACCGGTAAGTAACCAAGTGTGAGACACTTGAAGATTT